TTTCTCAACCTAAGATTTCAAATCAACTCTTTTCCAAATTACACGTTTCCAAAAGAAATCATTTTTAGGAAGTATAGATGAATATCAAACCAAATAATGGGCAGGGTCTTAATTACTTAAGCCCTAGTGAACAGTGATCACTCCACTGAACACTACGCAAAAATCCCATTTAAACCAACCAAATAATGGGCAGGGTCTTATTTGATAAGCCCTAGTGAACAGTACTCACTCTATTGAACACTACACAAAAATCTCATTTAAGTGGAACAGAACTAATACCTTAAGTGTGCACACCCCCAATGGGTTTCCAAGCCCAACGGGTAGTAACTAGTCCTAGTAGCCAGGATACGTTTCTACTGACTACTACTCAACAGGGTAAATACCCTAGTGGTAGACTCCACTAACCACACCTCAAAACAACAGGACTAAAAGTCCTAGTGAGACAGGATATGTTTCTACTGCTCACTCCTCAATTAACAGAGAGTTTTTAGGCTCCCTAGTGAATCAGTATATTTCAACTGTTCACTCCTCAACAAATTGGGTAAATCCAGAATCATAGTTGGATACTATATGAGTCAAAAAAAAACCTTTTTATTCACCACATTTATAAAAAAACAAGAGTAATGATATTTCACAAGCAAGCAACTTCTCAATATCTCAAATAAGAAACTGTCAAAAATTTTCAGAAACTATGACCTGAATTGCAGAATTTACTGAGAAAAATCGGTAACACATTTTCATATGAAATTTTCCAGATAAGTAGTATAAAGAGTCTAGAATACACACAAAAAGTTTCAAGCCAATCTAAGGCCTAGAAGTATTTTTACCAAAATTCTTCTCAACACAGCACCAGACTGTAATTTAACTGGCAGAACACTGCCTAAACTTTACGAAATTATTCTGGAAAAACCGAAACATATTTTTAACCAAAAATTTTTATAAACATCAAATATAACAAGTCTAGATTCTCCATAAAAAAATTCAAGCAAAAAAAAAATTAGGAAACAATTTTCACGAATTTTTCTTTCCAGCTGCGCCAGTCAGAATTTTCTCAGGCAATGATCAAATTGTGTAAAAGTTATCCTTTTTAATCACCACAAAATACCATATCACATATGCCCACAAAATCACGAAGTATATATATATATATATATATATATATATATATATATATATTTTTTTTTTTTTTTTTTTTTTTTTTTTACAGAGTAAAAGTAATTTTTGATAGACATAAGCACTTACCTGGATACGTAAAACAAATCACACACTTGACCCGAGTCCTACGTTTGCTCCTCTGCAAACTCTCCTTATAAACCAAATTGAATGTCCATATAAACACAGGAAATCACATAAGCATATATTCATAGAAATTTTACCACAAACATATAATTAAACTTACGAATAGATGACACTAGATGGAAGAAAAATTGACACCCAGGAGTTCTCTTGTGTCGAAGCCGAAACTGGGAATGAAAAGAATGAGAGTGTCGACTGCGAAGATGATGATTTAGGAGGGGAAGGTGTCGTATATGCTAGGGTTTGTTTTTGTATTTCTTTTGATTCCAGTAGCAGCGTGTGTTAAGAATTAGAGAGTGAATTTAAAAAGGTTTAGGTAACTAATATCATAGAATTATAGAGTGAGTTTAAAAAGGCTTAGGAAACTAATATCATAGAATTACATCCTGACTAGACATATATATCTCAAACTTAATCTAATAAACTAACATTAATCTAATAAAGTAACATATATATATATATATATATATATATATATATATATATATATATATATATATATATCTAACGTACTGGAGAATCACATATACATACTATAACTTAAGTTAAATTTATTTAATATAATATAAACATATTAGTTTTAGGATTTAAAAATTAATTTATTATTATCATATAAGTATTATGGGTTTAGGAATATTAATAACCATAACATAATAGTAGTAACTTTTTTAAACAGTTTATTTATAACAAATTATAATACTCAAATAATCGGGGTATCACACTCTACCCCCTTAAAAGATGCTTCGTCCCCGAAGCAGACCCATAAGGCAACAAGGAACAAGGGAACCGGGAAACCTCGCAACAGGGAAACCCAAACTCAACCTCACCAAGAAACTTAAACTTGAGTTTCATACACAAAAATGGAACGATGCAATTAACACACTAAAAGACAAAGCGGTGTTACACTCTACCCCCCTAAAAATAAAGTTACGTCCCCGTAACTTAGACGAGTACCTTGATTGAACAACGTCGGGTAATGATTTCTCATATCATCCTCTACTTCCCAAGTGGCTTCTTCTGTCAAGTGGTTAGACCACAAGACCTTTACAAGTTTCACAACTTTCCTTCGGGTTTCCCTTGTTTTGGTATCAAGAATCTTTACTGGTTTTTCCTCGTAAGTTAGCGACTCGTCCATCTCCACAACCTTATAATCATAACAATGGTGTTATTAGTATCACCATCACCCATTCAAGGGTCTCAAGACAACCTTTTTAATTCCTTACATCTGGACGAATTACATGAGAGTTATCATGCTTGTACTTCTTCAATTGCGATACGTGAAATACATTGTGTACCTTATCCAACTCCGTTGGTAAAGCCAATCGATAGGCTACCTTCCCAATCCTTTCCAAAATTTCATATGGTCCAATAAATCTTGGACTTAGCTTCCCCTTCTTTCCGAATCTCATTACTTCCTTCGTAGGTGAGACTTTCAGTAACACCTATCATAATAACACATCTTAGTCCTAAGCATATAAATACTTTGTAATTGTTCATCTCTTAATAAGTTAGTCAAATTTACCTTTTCGCCTTCCTGAAACTCAATTAATTTCCGCCTCTGATCTGCATAAGACTTCTGTCGATCCTGGGCTATCTTCATCTTTTCTTGAATTATTTTGATTTTCTCTGTTGTGTCCTGCAAGTATTGAGGCCCCAAAACCAAAACGTCTACCATATCTTCCCAACACAATGGACTCCTACATTTCTGGCCATATAATGCTTCATATGGTGCCATCTGTATACTTGCATGGTAACTATTGTTATATGAAAACTCGATCAAGTCAAGATGTTCTTCCCATGATCCTTGAATTCCAGCACACATGCCCTCAGCATATCCTCCAAAGTCTGAATAGTCCGTTCCGTTTGCCCATCGGTTTCTGGATGAAAAGCAGTACTCAATTTCAACCTCGTCCCAATAGCAGCTTGTAATGTTTTCCAAAATTGTGATAGAAACCTTGAATCTCGATCTGAAATTATATCACGTGGTACCCCATGATACTTAACTACTTGTCTGATGTAGGCTTTAGCCAACTGATCCATTTTCCATGTCTCATTCATAGCAATGAATCTCGTTGTCTTAGTAAGTCTGTCCACTATTACCCATATCTTATTCCTCCCAGATTTAGTTAATGGCAACCCTCCAACGAAGTCCATAGATATGGAGTCCCATTTCCCTTGTGGAATATCTAAAGGTTGTACCAGTCCTTTAGGCTTGCTTCTCTCGGCCTTAACCTTTTGACAATTTAAACATCTACTTACAAATTCAGCAACTTCCTTCTTCATCTTAGGCCACCAAAAATGCTTCTTAAGGTCCTTATATAGCTTATCTCCACCAGGGTGTACTGAGTATGGAGTGTTATGACCTTCTTCCATGATTTGCCTTTTTACTCCTTCACATACCATCGGGATACACCACCGTCCTTTATATCGAATGCTCCCATCTTCATGCAGCTCAAAGGGTCCATTCCTAGCATTTACCATCTTTTCCCTCACTCTTTCAAGCTTAACATCACCAGGTTGTCCCTTCCTTATCTCATCAAATAGAGTCGGAGTGATAGACATACTATACAATTTAATCTCAGCCTCAACTTCTCCAAACTCTTTCACTTCTAAATCTAGCCTTTGAAAATCCTTGCACAACTCGTCTTGTAAAACCCATGTTGCATTAAGTGAATGTCCAGATTTTCTACTTAGTGCATCTGCTACTACATTTGCTTTTCCCTCGTGGTACTGTATCACTAAGTCATAATCCTTGATAAGCTCTAACCATCTTCGTTGTCTCATATTCAAGTCCTTCTGCGTAAAAATGTATATATAAACTCTTATATATATCTAACGTACTGGAGAATCACATATACATACTATAACTTAAGTTAAATTTATTTAATATAATATAAACATATTAGTTTTAGGATTTAAAAATTAATTTATTATTATCATATAAGTATTATGGGTTTAGGAATATTAATAACCATAACATAATAGTAGAAACTTTTTTTAAATAGTTTATTTATAACAAATTATAATACTCAAATAATCGGGGTATCACAGTTTCAAAGGCATAGTCCCAATATTCATGTGGAACTTTACCTCCGGCGAGTAGAGCGAGGCCTGTTTCGACAACATGTCTATTGCGCCGCTCTACTTTGCCGTTTTGTTCATGCGTATAAGCGCAAGATTGACGGTGATTTATGCCAAGATTTTGGAAAGTGGTGTGGAGTTTTCGGTACTCACCCCCTAGATCCGACTGGATAGATTTGATAGAGCGCGAAAATTGGCGCTCTACCAGAACGCGAAACACATCAAAAACTTTATATAAATCTGATTTTACCCGAAGTGGATAAAACCAGCAAAAACTCGAATAAACGTCTACAAAGAGGCAGAAATAACGAAAACCACTAACTGATATTATGGGAGAAGGACCCCAAATATCAGTGTATACTAAGTCTAATACATGTTGACTAGTTCGTGGTACGCTATCTAACTTGAAACGTGACGATTTTCCTAAATGACAAGAATTACAAGAGTCAATTTGACCATTTTTATTATGTGACACCGGACAGACTTGTAACACTTTATTTAAAGCTTGCTTGTGTGGGTGACCGAGTCTTTGATGCCATATTGTGGGAGTAGCCCGGGAATGGACGAACGCGAAACTCGACCGACACATCGGAAGCTTGTATAGCCCGCCCGATGTGGAACCTCTAAGCAGAACCGCCCGAGTTGTGGAATCCTTCACAATGAAACAGTTACTGTGAAATTCAAAAAAGACATTATTATCTACAGTAAACTTATGAATAGATAATAATGGGACCGAAAGACTGGGAACACGTAATATATCATTTAAGTGTAAACTTTTAGACTCGGATGGGATTGATGCTCGACCGATTCGTGCAATTTCCAAACCTGCGCCATTGCCCACCCGTAACACGTCCGAACCACCGTACTCATCGGACTGCCCCATCATCGCCGCATCAGGGGTAGCGTGGGCTGTTGCACCAGTATCCGGATACCAAGTATCTGCCGGAACGGGTTGCGGGGCTGCCGGGGTGTCGCTGGAGATCGCCACATGGGCTTGCGCCGGCGGTTGGGTGGTGTAGCGCTTGTAGCAGTACACGGCGGAGGTCCGCCCTGACCGTGCGACCTACAGATCTGGCAACGAGGTCCGCCCTGGCCACCACGACCACCGCGCTGTCCTCCGCGGTTTCCGCGTCCGCCACCACCACGCTGCTGGTTCGACGAATGGCGACCATCACTGCCATGCGAACCTCCGCCTCGGTTGGTTCCGACGTACAGCGCCGTGTGGGAAGCCGTAGCATCAGCACTAGGAAAATCATCCACCAGGATGAATTCGTGAGCCTGCAGGAAGTCCGACAGGCTGGATAACGTCACCGATGCTCCGGACGCCGTGAGGCTGGTGGCCAGCGCCTTCAATTCTGGTCGGAGACCCCTGATTATATACAGGGTCTGCTCCATCTGTGACAGAGGACGCCCGGCCTGGATGAGCGACTCGACAAGGACTCCGGCACGCGCAATGTAGTCGGCGATGGTGGCGTTGCCCTGTCGAAGCTGTTGGAACTGCCCAAGGAGATTGATGCAGCGCGCCTCGCTGGTGGAACCGAGCGCAGACGAGATGGCAGCCCAGATGTCAGCGGAGGTATCCCGTCCGAGAGTGAGGTGTAACACCTCATCCGACATCGCAGAGATGAGTAGCGACACTATCGTCTGGTCTTGCTTGATCCAGGCGTGGTACGCCGGATTCGGAAGGCACGCGCAATGTAGTCGGCGATGGTGGCGTTGCCCTGTCGAAGCTGTTGGAACTGCCCAAGGAGATTGATGCAGCGCGCCTCGCTGGTGGAACCGAGCGCAGACGAGATGGCAGCCCAGATGTCAGCGGAGGTATCCCGTCCGAGAGCGAGGTGTAACACCTCATCCGACATCGCAGAGATGAGTAGCGACACTATCGTCTGGTCTTGCTTGATCCAGGCGTGGTACGCCGGATTCGGAAGCAAGGACGCCTGCGTGGTCGATGCGGAACTGCCGGTAGTGGATGGCGCCGGGATCATCTCTGGTGGGCACGGGTGGCTTCCGTCTACGAAGCCGGTGAGCTCCTGGCCGCGAAGAAATGGAAGAAGCTGCATCCTCCAAAATAGGAAATTCTTGGATGTAAGCTTCATGGTGAAATAATGATGTGCACCGGTGAGAGCGTTGCCGGCAGCCGGCGTAGGAGAACCGACGGCAGAGTGAGTACGCTCGGAGGAGTTGGTCGACATATTTGGGTGGGGGAGGGAGATTTTACGGTGGAGATAGGAAGAATTTGGTTGTTCCCGATAACCTGTCGTCTGATACCAGATTAGAGATAATTCTTCGTAGATTAACCAGAGAATAGGAGTACAAGAGATATCAAAAATAACTATCTCAAACAGCCCTGACTAATAGACTAGACTCACTACACACCACATATTACATAACTATATTACATGGATGTAACATAACAATAATAAGAATAATAATAATACTAACATCACTTAACAAGCTCCGGCGAAAACCTAGTTGTGGAAAAATTAAAGTACAAGATATAAATTTATTCGTGTTGCACCAAAGCAAAATTAGAGTGGCGCAGCTGAAGCGTTGTGGGCCCATAACCCACAGATCCCAGGATCGAAACCTGGCTCTGATAATAGTGTGTTGAAATTTTTTGAAATACTTTTCCTGATTTATATATAAATTGTATTTTGTATAATAGTAGGGGATGTAGCTCAAATGGTAGAGTGCTTGCTTTGCATGTGAAAGGCATAGGGATTAATTCCTAGCATATCTAATTCGTTTAATTCTAATAGTAGTAAGATTTATTATTGAGTAAATTCGACCACGTAAATCATTAAACTTCGGGACAGTACTAGTTCACGGGTAATAGTTGGAAACCCAAATCGTGTAATTTTTTAAAAACCCGTCAGACATATAATTTACTGAATTTAAATTTACTAATTTCATTTAATTCCTTCAAGTTTCAAATGACAACTATAGTTCATCAATTCTACAAACATAAATATAAAATAGAACATATAATTTTTCAGTTTCGTATATAAAATAATTACACATAAGAAAAATACAAATTGACATCAAATAGAATAATAGGAAAAATCTTTAATGAACCAAATGGTTAATGCCCTTCTGATTTATATTACACGTTTTGTATTACCTATAGCTTGTATTTTGACTAAAAAAACATTTGAAAGGGATATAGCTATGTAATGGTAAACTGTTTATGATTTTTCTAGGTATAATTTTCAAAGATTTATGAGTGAATATGTCTTTGATTTTTTCGTGTCTATGATTCTATGTTCTTTTTTTTTTTAGGCAACGGGGTCTCAAATGAAACTAAAGTTTGAAAAATTTTGGAGGGATCCAGAAAAAAAATGAGTTTCTTGATATTTTATGTGAATATTTTGGATCCCAATGATAAGATTTTGAATATGCCTCACCAATTTGCCCTGTTGTATGTTGAAGAAAAAGCAAATCTTACTTTGCAAAGGTTCAAGGTGCATTGGATGAGCTGTTTAATGACTATGCAGCTACCTACAGTGACACCTCTGTGCGGTCTGCATCCCCTTATTTCGCAATTTGAATCAAAACATGTTCATTCTGAAACTACAGTTCGAAAAACTCTTTCTAGGTTGAAAGGCCAGCTAAATAACAGAAAATGGAGAGTGGTGGTGGAAGCAGTAAGTAGATTGAACTCCATAGTTACTTGAGTGCAAATATAGTGGAAGAGGAAGAAACTGCTGAATTTGATGTGCTTAGGCGGTGGAAGGTGAATAGTGAGATATTTCCTATTCTCACAAAAATGGTAAGGGATCTGCTAGTTGTATCCATATCCACAGTTGCCTCTAAGAGTGCATTCAGTAGTAGTGGTAGGGTATTAGATGCCTTTAGGTGTTTCTTAACACCTAAAACTGTGGAACCCCAGTCTATGCACGATTGGTTGAGGGCACCTAATCACACAATCTCTGTTGAGGAAAACTTGGATGAGGGTGAAAGATTAGAAAAGGGTACAATTTCTAACTTCATCCCGTGAAAAATTATATTGTTTATATCACAAGAATGCAACAGAGTAAAGTGAGAGATATTATTATAATTTCTCTAGTACGTAATGTCCACATATGTTTATTTACAACACTCCCCTGAAACATAACTACATCATACTCATGCCTTGTTTGAACCTCACTAAATAAGATCCGGCGAAAACCTAGTTGTGGAAAAATTAAAGTACAAGATATATCTTTATTCGTGTTGCACAAAAGCAAAATCAGAGTGGTGCAGCGGAAGCGTGGTGGGCCCATAACCCACAGGTCCCAGGATTAAAACCTAGCTTTTATAATAGTGTGTTGACATTTTTTGAAATACTTTTCCTGATTTATATATAAATTGTATATTGTATATTGTATAATAGTAGGGGATGTAGCTCAAATGGTAGAGTGCTTTGCTTTGCATGTGAAAGGCAGAGGGATTAATTCCTAGCATATCTAATTCGTTTAATTCTAATAGTAGTAAAATTTATTATTAAGTAAATTCGATCACGTAAATCATTAAACTTCGGGAGTGTAATAGTTCACGGGAAATATTTGGACACCCAAATCGTGTAATTTTTTAAAAACCCGTCTAATATATAATTTACTGAATTTAAATTTACTAATTCCAATTAATTCCTACAAGTTTCAAATGACAATTACAGTTCATCAATTCTACAAACATAAAAATAAAATAGAACATTTAATTTTTCAGTTACGTACATAAAACAATTACATAAGAAAAATACAAATTGATATCAAATAGAATAATAGAAAAAATCTTTAATGGACCAAATGGTTAATGCCCTTCTGATTTATATTACACGTTTTGTATTACATATAGATTGTATTTTGACTATTAAAACACTAGTAAGGGATATTGCTATGTAAATGTGAACTGTTTATGATTTTTCTTGGTATAATTTTCAAAGATTTATGAGTGAATATGTCTATGATTTTTTCGTGTCTATGATTCTATGTTCTTTTTTTTTTATAGGCAACGGGGTCTCAAATGAAACTAAAGTTTGAAAAATTTTGGAGGGATCCAGAAAAAATGAGTATCTTGATATTTTATGTTAATATTTCGGATCCCAATGATAAGATTGAGAATATGCCTCAACAATTTGCCCTGTTGTATGTTGAAGAAAAAGCAAATCTTACTTTGCAAAGGTTCAAGGTGCATTGGATGAGATGTTTAATGACTATGCAGCTACCTACGGTGTCACCTCTATGCGGTCTGCATCCCCTTATTTCGCAATTTGAATCAAAACATGTCCATTCTGAACTACAGTTCGAAAAACTTTGTCTAGGTTGAAAGGCTAGCTAAATAACAGAAAATGGAGAGTGGTGGTGGAAGCACTAAGTAGACTGAACTGCATAGTTACTTGAGTGCAAATATAGTGGAAGAGGAAGAAACTGCTGAATTTGATGTGCTTAGGCGGTGGAAGGTGAATAGTGAGATATTTCCTATTCTCACAAAAATGGTAAGGGATCTACTAGTTGTATCCATATCCACAGTTGCTCTAAGAGTGCATTTAGTACTAGTGGTAGGGTATTAGATGCCTTAAGGTGTTTCTTAACACCTAAAATTGTGGAAGCCTACGCACAAGATTGGTTTAGGGCACTTAATCACACAATCTCTGTTGAGGAAAACTTGGATGAGGTTGAAAGAAAAGAAAAGGGTACAATTTCTAACTTTATCCCGGGAAAAATTATATTGTTTACATCACAAGAATGGAACAGAGTAAAGTGAGAGATATTATTATAATTTCTCTAGTACGTAATGTCCACATATTTTTATTTACAATGCTCCCCCGAAACATAACTACATCATACTCATGCCTTGTTTAAACCTCACTAAATAATTAAGCTCCGGCGAAAACCTAGTTGTGGAAAAATTAAAATACAGGATATATCTTTTTTCGTATTGCACTAAAGCAAAATTAGAGTGGCGCAGCAGAAGAGTGGTGGGCCCATAACCCATAGGTCCTAGGATTGAAACCTTGCTCTGATAATAGTGTGTTGACATTTTTTGAGATACTTTTCCTGATTTGTATATAAATTGTATTTTGTATAATAGTGGGGGATGTAGCTCAAATGGTAGAGTGCTTGCTTTGCATGTGAAAGGCATAGGGATTATTCCTAGCATATCTAATTCGTTTATTTCTAATAGTAGAAAGATTTATTATTGAGTAAATTCGATCACGTAAATCATTAAACTTCGGGAGAGTACTAGTTCACGGGTAATAGAACATATAAATTTTCAGTTTCGTATATAAAACAATTACACATAAAAAAATACAAATTGACATCAAATAGAATAATAGAAAAAATCTTTAATGGACCAAATGGTTTTTTTGAAAACCAACCAATAAATGATTGTATTAATGAAGGAAAGTTGTAATAGCGTTAGGAGGGATTGCATCCCATAACATAGAGTGGTCCTGAGTAAAAGCTAACTAAGCTAAAACATGTGCAGACGAATTAAGCTGTCTAGAAATATAATGTAATGAACAATAAACAAACGAAGCCACCATCCTTCCACATTGGTCTACTGTGACCCCAACACAAGACATTATAGTCGTTGACACCTGGAAAATGACATTCCGGAGCTGCAAACAATCAGTT